GAGTTCAGAGACTTTGTTCACCTTTCTATCCCCATTACTTACCATATATAAAACATAAAACTACTTGTTGAATGAATAAATGGTCAAAATACTGTCTGAGAATCAGAGAAGCTAGATTCTTCCCTGGTCTCATTCTCTTACCTTGCCCATAGGCCCTTCCTTCTATGCCTCTGTTCTGTTTTATGTAAAAGGAATACATTTTCTTTTTGAGACATTATTCCAAGGACATTTTGACTAGCGGTCTTCCTCGACTTATGCTGAGGTTATGTCCTGAAAATACTGTAAGTCAAAGATGCATTTAATATACCTAGACCTTCTGAGCCTCATAGCTTAGCCTAGCCTACCTTAAATTGTGCTCAGGACACTAAACATTAGCCCACAGTTCAGCAAAATTACATAACACAAAGTTTATTTTATAGTTAAGTGTTGAATATCTTATGTAATTTGTTGAAAACTGAAGTGAAGAACAGAATGGTTGCAAGTGTATTTGTTGTTTTACTCTGGTGATCAGGTGGCTGACTGGGAGTTGCATCTGGCCGCCTCTGCCCAGCATCTCAAGAGAGTATTATGTCATTCTCCCAGAAAAATCAAAATTCGAAATTGAATGTGTGGATTCTAATGGATGCGTATCACTTTTGCACAATTATAAAGTAGAAAAGTCTTAAGTCAAAGTGTAAGTCAGGGACCATTTGTACTATAATTGCATTGTTTATGAATCATCAGGTTGACCGTTCAACATCAGGTAGGGAGGATTTATGAAATATTTAAGATGCAAAGTTCCAATGGAACTTTCTCACATGGCTTTAACATAAGCTGGTAGCATTCTGTTTTCTGACTCAGAAGTCACTAAAAACAAAAAGATGGTTGTGGTTGCAGTGAGTGTCCAGCTTTCCCGGAAAGTTTATTAGAATGATGAAAGGAGTAACTGCAGCTATTAAAAGGATAAGCAACTAAAAAAACGGGCTAATTTACACTGCCACATGTGACATTTATTTGATTGTTATATGCATTAGGCTCTTGATCATAAAGGAATAGGAGAAACAAGCTCTCTTTTCTCACAATAGAAGGGTAAGGTGGGTTTTAAAGCTAAGCACTGTTGAGAGCTACAAGTGTTATGCTTTCATCTGAGCCCTAAGGAAGCAAATCCAGATGGCGGGTTTAACTTGCTGTATTCTTCAGAGATTAGAACTGTTGCCAACAAAAACAACTTTGGTGCAAACTTCCTGGAAAGAATTTTTCACCAGTTTAAGAGGATGAATAGGAACCTGGCCTCCAAAATAAAGGAACTGTGAAGTCACTTGCTACAAGAACTTGCTGCAAGACCAAGCAGCTCTTCTAGGGAATACTGTGGCAGCAAAGTTCCACAGATCCATACGAACTATACCTTCTATAGGATGAATGGTTTAAGAAGATAACTTAAGTCAGCTCTTTTAAATATAATGTCTGCTCTAAATAATTTATTAGAACACATTTTGGCTTCTAACTACATTAAGAAGCCCATCCTTCAGCTCTTCTTAAATTATAAACTCAAAGAGCATATTCGTTGCTCAGTCCTGTATAGTAACCACCAGCTACATGTAGTTACATACATTTAAATTAGTGAAAATGAAAACTTCAGTACATCCATTGCATTAGCCATGTGTCAAGTGTTCAGTGACCACCTATGACTAGTGGATACTATATTGGACAGAGAAGATACAAGACATATCCATCATTGTAGGAAATTCTGTTGCACAGTGCAGCATTAGAGTATGTTCCTAATAATTATGTATGTACTTATAATTAGTCTCCAGGAGCCCAAGATTCACCAGACCTGGGTTTGAACCCTAGCTCTTATACTTATTGTGTGATCTGATTTAACATTTCTAAGACTTCATGATCTTATCTGTAAAACGGGGGTAAGCGCAATATTTATAACATTGAGTCGTGAAGATTCAGTGAGATAATGTAGGGAAGTGCCTAGCATAGTGCCTGGCCCACAGTAAGTACTCAGTACCTTTTAGATATTATTAATTTATTTATTCTTAATGAATAAAAAACTTGGAATAGAGCTAAAAATTTAATTTTGTAAAGAATACCATATTCCCTAGCTGGCTCACTTGAAGTACTCAAATCTGAGTCTCTGAGTAGGTTACAGTGTTCTCCTTTCAGCTATACTTCATATTTTAGATGAAGATTTTATTTTAAGAAAATGTGTCATAATGTAAATTTAGTTGCAGATCTTATCATTGGATATTCCTGTTTCTTTTTTTTTTTAAGTGACTCAACAGAGGTTATAGTTAAAGTCAGTAGCTTCTATACACAAGTCTGTATTCTAGTGACACTACTTAACATTCAAATAGAAATATAAGGCTGACACAAAGCAAACCTGTTAAAGCATCTGACTAGATAAAGAAGAAAAATTTAACAAGTTTCAATATTAATCTAGAAAAATTTAATAGGTCCAAAGCCTAAGGGTTTATTGCTGCCAACTCACAGTGATTGCTTGGCTCAATAGAGATGGCTTTGAACAAAGAAACATTGTTTGTTTCTAATGAACAAGAACGTAAAAATGTTAACAGCATTCATAGTTATTAATACAGTAATTACTAAAACACATCTTAGTAATTAGTAATTACTTAGTAATTAGTAATTTATGTAAAAACTTCTGAACATGTGCCAAACAGGAAGGGGAAATCATCACCAGATAGTCCTTAAATGCCAGCTGCTTTCATAAAATAAATGACTTGCTCTCAAAAGAACTGGTCAGGTTGGTGTCATTATTTTCTGAACTGAATGAATCCATTCTGTAAAGTCTTCCTTTCCTTTTTGGGATTTATCTTCATCAGAGAAGCTGTATGTATTCATTTTAAATGTTTTACAGTTGGACTATATTTACACAATACAAAATTTTGAATTACTGGACCACTAGGCTAAACACCTGGTAAGTGATGTTATCTACATAAAAGAAGAGAACACCTTAAGGTAATTAAATAGTTTTCTACTGTCCCCCATTTGCAAGGATAATAAAGTTTTTATTTGAAATATAGTTAGCACTCAGAAAATTACATGTCAGAATGTAAAACCCAATGAATTATCACAAAATGAATACAACTTGTAACTATCATCTTGATCAAGAAATAAAACATTACAAGCATCTTAGGAAATATCCCCCATGGCCCCTCTTAGTCACTGTCCCCACTCTCCATAAAAGATAGCATTTGATTTCTCAAACCATAGATTAGTTTTGTCTGTTCTAGAATGTCATATAAATAGAATCATACTGTATGTATCATTTTGTATTTGGTTTTGTTTGTTCAATATTGCGTTTGTAAGTTTCGTCCATATTTGCTTCATGTAGCAGTAGCTTGTTTTCATTGCTGTATAATAATTCATTTTCATAGTATACTATAGTTTATTTTTCTATTATACTATTAATAAATATCTGAGTTCCAGGTTTTCGCTATAACAGTATATTTTTATACATGTTTTTGGTGCACAATTGTACACATTTATGTTTAATCCACCTGGAAGTAGATTCATGTGTCACAGTTATTAAGAATATTTTTAAATGAAATATAATTCACATGCTATGGAACTCATCATTTTAAAGCATACCGTTTAGTAGTTTTTAGTATATTCACAAAGTTGCACAATCATTATCTCTAATTCCAGATGTTTATCACCTTAAAAAGAAATGGAAAACCCATAACCACTAACTCCGCATTCTTCCCTCCCACCCAACCCTGGCAACTACTAACCTAATTTCTGTCTCTGTAGATTTGCTTATTCTGAGCATTTTATAAAATGAAATCATACAATATGTGACCTTTTGTGTCTGGCTTCTTTTACCAAGCATAATGTTTTCATGGTTTATTCCTTTTTAGGGCTGAATAATCTTCCATTGTTAGAAAATTATTTACCCATTCATCAGTTGATAGACATTTGAGTTGTCTCCACTTTTTGACTATTCTGAGTAATGCTGCTAGGAAAGTTTATATACAAGTTTTTGTATGGACATGCATTTCCAGTTCTCTTAGTTTCATACCTAGTAGTAGAATTGCTGAGTAATTTGGTAACTCTTACCTTTAACTTTTTGAAGAACTCACTGTTTTCCACAGCGTCTGTACCATTTTACATTTCTGTCAACAAAGTATGAGGGTTCTAGCTTCTCCACATTCTTGTCAATACTTGTTATTGTCTGCATCTTAATTATATCTAGCCTATTGGATATGAAATGTTACCCCCATTGAGATTTTGATTTACATTTGAAAAGATATTGAGCACCTTTCCTTGTGCTTATTGATCATTTGTGTGTATATCCTCTTTGGAATAATGTTTTGAAATTCTTTGCCCATTTTTTGTATTGTGTTGTCCTTTTATTAAGTGTTCTCTTTATATTCTGGATTATAGTCCCTTATAAAATATGTGTTTGCAGTTATTCTCTCATTCTGTGGGAGTCTTTTTATTTTCTTGGTAATGCCCTTCAGAATACAGAAGTTTTAAATTCTGATACAAGTCCAGGTTATCTGTTTCTTCTTTTGTTGCTTGTGCTTTTGGTGTCATCTTAAAAAATTATCTAATCCAAAGTCATAAGGACTTAATAGATACCTTTTTTCTAAAAGTTTTTAATAGTTTCAGTTCCTATGTTTAGGTCTTGATACATCTTGAGTTAATTTTTGCATATGACATAAGTAGAGGTCCACATTCGTTCTTTTTGCATGTGGGAATCTAGTTGTCCCAGCACCATTTGCTGAAAGACTATTCTCTCTCCCACTGAATGGTCTCGGTAATTTTATCAAAAATCAATGACCATATATGTATAAAGGTTAATTTCAGAATTCTCCATTCTATTGCATTGATCTGTATGACTGTTCTGCCAGTATGTCATAGTACATTTGTAGTAGCAGGTTTTGAAATCTGGAAGTATGAGTCCTCCAGATTTTTTTTCAAGATTGTTGTGGCTATCCTTGGTCTCTTTCATTTCCATATGAATTTTAGGACCATCCTGTTAGTTTCCACCAAAAAAAAAAAAAAAAAAAGGGCAGCTGGCATTATAGTAGGGATTACATTGACTCTTAAGCCAATTTGGAGGGTATTGCTATCTTAACGATATTAAGTTTTCTAATCCATGAATGTGAAATATCTTCCCATGTTTTAGATATTTTTAATTTCTAATTTCTTGCAGTGATGTTCTGTACTACTCAATGTATACTAATAATGCTCTGTACTGTTCTATATTAATGATGCTCTAATACTATTCAATGTACTTGCTGTTGTGTTATATTTAGTCCTAAATATTTTGATCTTCTTGATGCTCTTGTAATTGGAATTGTTTTCTCAATTTCATTTTCAGATTATTTATTGCTAATGTGTAGAAATACCATTGGTTTTTAGAAGTATTAATTTGTATCCTGCAACCTTGCTGAATCTGTTTATTAGCTATGATTTTGTGCATGTGAGCGTGCGCGCGCGCGCGTGTGTGTGTGTGTGTGTGTTCCTTAGAACTTTACATAGACGAGATTTTAACATCTGCAAATTGAGGTAGTTTTATTTCTTCCTTTCCATTTTGGAAGCCTTTTGTCTCATTTTCTTGCCTGATTGCCCTGGCTAGAATCTCTAGTACTATACTGAATAAAAATGATGAGCGTGAACACCATTGTTTATTCTTGATATTAAGGGGAAAGCTTTTAATCTGTAGTCATTAAATATGATGTTAGTTATGGGATTTTCACAGATGCTCTGTTCTCTTGAGATTAGGATATTTCTTTTTCTAGTTTGTTTTTCTTGTAAACAGGTGCTAGATTTTACCAAATGATTTTCCTGCATGTTTGGAAATCATTATTTTTTTGTCTTTTGCGTAGATTGTATGTTATATTGATTGACTTTCATATGTTGAACCAATCTTCCATTCTTGGAATAAATCCCATTGGTGTATAATCTTTATATGGTGCTGGATTCAGTTTGTTAGTATTTTGTCAAGGATTTTTACAGCTATTCTTAAGTGATAGTGGTCTGTAGTTTCTTCTGACGCCTTTCTCTGGTTTTGGTGTCAGAATAATATAAGGATACTTTTTGATGTACACTAAATTTAAACTTTTTTCCCCCCAGAAAATGATCCACAGTCTATTTCTCATAAACTGTTCCGGTGACATATTTCTGGAGAAGCACTGGAAGAGTGTTGTGAGCCAGTCTGTCTGTGATTATTTCTTTGAAGCTCAAGAGAAAGCCGCTGATGTTGAAAATGTACCACCTGTCATTTCAACACCTCATCACTACCTCATCAGTATATACAGGGACAAACTCTTCTTTGTGTCTGTCATACAGACTGAAGTGCCCCCTCTCTTTGTAATTGAGTTCCTACATCGAGTTGCTGACACTTTTCAGGTTGGTTATTCATCAACTCTTTTGAACTTAAATTACTCAAGTTAGTTGGGGGTGGGACACCTAATCATATTCTTTAATTATCCAGCTTTTGATGTGTCTTTTGTCTCTCTCTTCTTTTCAACTAAGTATAAATTCATGAACCCTTTTTTTGTAGGGTACACAGCAGTGCACATGGCTACTCCATTCACTGTTTCAGTAGAACCCAGTAATCTCATGGTCATGGAAACCATATTTATATGTATTACAAATTATGTCATCAGGAAACTGTAAAGCCCTCTACATACAGTTCCTTGAATGGTCCCAGGATTTTTATTGGTTATGTAATCTTCTAATATTTACATTTTATTATCTTGCTAAGTGTACCAAATAATTGAAAACATACCTGTGTTTTGGGGGGTATCTAATCAGGGCAAATTAAGTTTATAGTTCACATCCTAGTTTAATGTTTCAAAGTCCTCTCTGGATTAATATGTAATAGGAATTCAGTTCAGTCTAAAAATACTGAGAAAATATTGAGGACTAGAACTAGGGAGTTTTTTTCACTCTGACATATTTTCAACATCTTAATGAATTATGCCTCTGTAAGTTTATCCTTCTGAACAGAGTGTTTAGAAAGCCTTTCTTCATGTGTTCCATTGTGCAATATTATGTACATTTTGTTAAGGACTACTTTGGTGAGTGTTCGGAAGCTGCAATTAAGGATAATGTGGTCATTGTATATGAGCTCTTGGAAGAAATGTTAGACAATGGATTTCCACTGGCTACTGAGTCTAATATTTTGAAAGAACTGATTAAACCACCAACAATTCTCCGTTCTGTCGTCAACTCTATTACAGGTAAGGTGAAAACATGCTGCATTCGGAACTGAGCAATTAAAACTTTATAAACAACTCCTTGTTACTTATGATCTTGCAGATACTAAGGTAGTCCAATTTGGTCAGAGTTAAAGTTAGTGGTATTGTTAAAATGAATGTGTATTTCTTTTCATGAGGAAACTAGATCTTAAATGGTAAAGAAAACTTGATTATTACTCTTTTATTAAAGACCACAAAAACATTATTACTATTACTTAACACTAAATAATATGACTGAATAAATTTTCCCAGCCAGTCCTAAGGAAGCCAATATAGTGAAGCTATAAAAGGGAAGCTTACATGTGAGGCTACTTAGAACATCTAATCTATTTATAGACTGCCATTTTACTATTTAAATTAGTATTAGTTTATGTAATGTGATGAAGATGTTAACTAACACTATACTCGGTAATCATTATAGTATATAAGTGTATCAAATCAACATGTTGTATACCTTAAACTTAACACCATGTTATGTATCAGTGGTCTCTCAATACAAGCTGGGAGAAAAATAAAAATTAATAAATAGCATTATAAAACTGGCTATCCAGTATAAAACTGTTGCTACCCCCAAATTACTAGGAAATAGAAAATTTAAGACTCTCTACCACAGAGGACGTATTGTGTCCTCCAAGTCTTTCTTTTATACATGTAGAAGATTTATTAAGCCAAAAAGAGATAGGAAATTAATCTATTTGTGAGATTTCATGCATTGTGGGCCTTGTACTTGTGTTACAAATTTCTAATCTTTGTTTGCTTTTTGAGTATAGCTAGAAATTAGGTACGTCCAGATGACAGTATTTTTTGAGAGTATTGAAGTCTTCTAGAGAAAGATTACTGTCAGATGTTACATGCCACACCAGCTACACTTTCTGCCATTTTAAACCCCTCTCCAAGTGTATTGACCTAAAAAATAGGGCAAGAGAGGCCTCTGAAAAAAGCGTTATTCTTCTTCTCTATAAGGCTGAGCGCTGGGAGAAATTCAAGGAAAGATGAGATGGAGTGTATGTGCCTAAAAGTTACACTCTGGATGGGAGATTGGGGGAAAAAATTAAAGTATGTAAATACTATAAGATTATAAAAGGCAATTCCATACTTTATGAACATTATAGTGCCACTGGAAAGTACACATAATATAGTACTAAGTGAAAAAAAATTTACCAAAAACTCTACAAAACTATAAAAATTTCTCTTAATTACACATAAACATTCATACAGACAAAAAAATTCTAAGATGTTTTCAATAATGACCATCTCCAGCTAAGGAACTACGTACTGTCTTTTTTTTTTTTTGCTTTATACTTTCTAATTTCTAAAATAAACATGTATTTCATAGTTACTAAAATATAGAATGAAAATATATAGGTTATTAAGGCAGTGCATTATGGAATTAAAGAGAATGGTTCAGTAAATGAATTGTGGTGCTTGGCCCAAGTGCAGGGCCCTAGAGAATCAGCAGAATTTAGGGAGAGTGGGAGGAATAAAAGCATTTTGTAGATGGAACTATATGAGAAAAAACACATACAAAATGAAAAATGTTGAATTGTATGAATTCATTTAGCAGGAACAGAGCTGTTTTTTTAGCTGAGTAATGAGATCTGAAACTTAAGAGTTAAGTTGAGGAAGTTCTTGAATAGTAGGCTAAATATTTAGTTTTTATCATAAAGCCAGTGTGGAAACATTGTAAGTTTGAACAGGAAGGTGAAAGCAGTGCTTTTAGAAAATTCTGAGAAGCTAAAGGTTTGGAGAAACAAACACCATCATAATTAGACTGTAAAGTTACATATACAGTATGATTGCAACTCTATTTTAAGATGCAGTTGGAAAAAAAGCAAACTTGTCAAAATAGAAAAAAATAAGTCCAACTTATTTATGAGGGAAATGTTTAAAGAAGTATACCAAAATGTTAATGGTAGTTGTATTTTGGTAATAGGAAGCTAGATTCTTTTTAGCCTTTTCTGAACTTTCCATGTGTTATTACTAAGCATGTACTACTTTTGAGTTGGAAATGTAAATTAACCAAAATGTTAAATATGTCACAGCTCAAGGTTATGTTTTGGACAACCAGACTTATTTTCAGACGTATGTCAATTTACCAATAAATTAGCCAGATATTAAACATTAGCCATATTGCAGCCATATGGGTGTGCTGACCTTAAAATGGGAAAAGGCCAGAGTGTGTTCTTCATCCAGTTACTCCGCTTAGGCCTGCGTGGCAGCATGTCATGTAGAATTTAAGCTGAATACCAAAGGGCCTACTTAGCACTCTGTATTCTCAGTGGAGACATTTGATCGGCGGGTTTTAAAACAACTAGCCTCTTTTCTTCATTAGTGGCAGCAGGACAAGATTTGTTGTTGAGCCACTGGAATTAGGTTAGGTTACTGATAACTCAGGAAGCAAAAGATAAGTATATGAATTTAACCTGGTTTGGCACATAGAGGACCACGTGGCCTATTTCTGTCTTCTAGAAATTTGATCATATTGGTATGGCTATATCTCCAGCAGTTCTGGCGACTGTCCACAACTTCAATGAAGAAAAACCCAGACATTAAAGAAGCAGCTATAGTATTCTTCTTTTTTTTTCCCTGTTAATTGCTTTTCTTTTTTCATTTTTAAAGTAAACTATACACCCAATGTGGGGCTAAAACTCATGATCCACAGGTCAAGGGTCGCATGCTCTACCAACTGAGCCAGCCAGGCACCCCTGTTAATAGCTTTCCAGATCACCATTTTATGCAATACCTTTGCTTTCTCTTTTTCTGGCTTTCTAGGCAGTAGTAATGTTGGGGACACACTCCCCACTGGGCAGCTGTCCAACATTCCATGGCGCCGGGCAGGGGTAAAGTACACAAACAATGAAGCCTATTTTGATGTCGTTGAAGAAATAGATGCAATTATAGATAAATCAGGTAATTGCGTGCATGTGGTCTTATTTGGGAAAACAGTTGAGCTGACATACGCTGAATAGAAAATTGAAATCCCTTGGTAGTATGGTTTCCGCAGAAAGGCATTCATTTCCTAATGGCTTAAAAATCTGTTTATTTTGCCCAGAGGTTACATATAATTTTCATAACCACTAGCTGAGATCTGCCAAACCTTTGTAAATCAGATCTCATGCTGCCTCACTTTAAACTAGCTATTACCCTGTATGCCTCTTCCTCTTCCCATTTTTTTAGCATTTATTGTTTATCTGCCATGCACCATACTTTCGCTACCACTGTATATGCAGTACTTGTAATAAAGACCCCAGACAAAACAGCAGTACTGTATTAGAACCATAAAATTTTATTAAAAGTATCTAGTCCAACCCTCACATTTTATATCTAATGAAACTGAGGCTCAGAAGGGTTTAGTAATCTGCTTAAGGTCACATAGCTAGTTGGTGTATGAAAATGAGCTATCGTGAATTAATAGCCAGTATCTTTTCTTCAGTGGGTACCCTTTTCACTATAAAATTCCATCATACAGAGTAATAGCTGTACTATTATGGAATAATGGCTCCTATTTCTTAAAAGTTAACAGCTTAGTCCATTTCAATGAGAAATTTTCCTTATTTTTAAATTCCATCAAAAAATATTTCAACTTCAAACACTTTTTTTTTTCCTAAGAGGGAAAGAATTGGGGGAGAGGGCCAGAGGCAGAGGGAGAGAGAGAGAATCTTAAGCAGGCTCTACACCCAGCATGGAGCCCAAGGCAGGGCTCGATCTCATGACCCTGAGATCATGACCTGAGCTGAAACCAAGAGTCAAAGACTTAACCGACTGAGCCACCCAGGCACCCCCAAAATATTTTAATTTCATATCCAGCAGTCTTACAAAGTTGACTCCACAAAGATAGAGGCAGTTTTGACATTCCTTAGAATTACCACAGTCCTACCAGAGTTAGATGTCGGCTGTGGTACTTAGTGAAGAAGCTGTCATAACCAATGTAATGGATCCCCAGTCCACTAACTTGTTAGTAGATGTGTAAGTTTCATTATGTCTGACACCCAGAAGGTGTCTCCATTACTTCAGATACAGTGATTTCTCTAGTAAAGACTCAGAGTCCAGTGACGTTACCACTTTATTTCTTTCTTCAGGATCTACAGTCTTTGCAGAAATTCAGGGGGTCATTGATGCTTGCATTAAGCTATCTGGAATGCCTGACCTTTCTCTTTCTTTTATGGTAAGTTTTGTTCTCCTGTCGTGTAGCTCTTTGCATGCCTACTATATATGAAGTACTAAATGAAATGATAAATACTGAGAGATGTTTGTATCTTAGATTATAAGGATTATCTCAGAAATATTCTAAGATTGATTTATTGAGAGAGAGAGATAAAGAGCACACACTTGAGCGTGAGCAGAGGGAAGGGTAGAGGGAGAAAAAGAGAGAGTCTCAAGCAGACTCCATGCTGAGCCAAGAGCCTGACGTGGGGCTTGATCTCACAATCCTGAGATCATGACGTGAGCCAAAATCAAGAATCAACCACTCAACTGACTGAGCCACCCAGGCACCACCTATCTCAGAAATATTCTTAGCCAGCTTCCCAAGACAGTGGCTTAGGTAATGAGCATGGCGTTTATAGAAGGCTGAGGAGAGGTCTCCTGGGTGTGTTAGAAGAGGCTTAAACAGCTGGCTGGCTTTCACAGATCTGTAGTCTCACTTACTGAATTATTATTTGCTTTGCTGGTATGAAAGGTCATTGATCTTTTGCATTATTTTAGACTCAGCATGATACACTACTAAGAAAAAAGAACGGAGTTCTGATGCTAACTTGTCCTGTCCCACATATAAAATATCTGTGGGGCTCCTGGGTGGCTCAGTCAGTTAGGCAGCCAGCTCTTGATTCTGGCTCAGTTCATGATCTCAGGGTCCTGGGATCGAGCTTCACATCAGGCTACATGCTTGGTGGGGAGTGCGCTTGAGGATTTTCTCTCTCCCTCTCCCTCTGCCCCTTCCCCCTCACACATGCATTCTCTCTTTCTGTCTCTCAAATAAATCTTAAAAAAATAGATATATTTGAAAGCCTTATGAAACCATTAAGTTTATGTTACTGTGGTCATAGTAACAACCTCTTAACATCACTGTTTTATCCTTAGGGAGTATTTAATTTCTCAAATATCTAAGTAGAGTTGCCATATTCCATGCATTCTGTGAATATTGCCGTCTTGTTTTCCTGGCAGAACCCACGGCTTCTAGATGATGTCAGCTTCCACCCCTGCATCCGGTTTAAGCGCTGGGAATCTGAAAGAGTTTTGTCCTTCATTCCTCCAGATGGAAATTTCCGGCTCATATCATATCGTGTCAGCTCACAAAAGTATGTTGATGCATCAGCTAGAAATCTGCTATCATGTATCTGTGTGATGGGTGACCTCACCTTTTTCATTCTGACAGTTGGATACTTGAATTCATCACTGCCCCCTTTAGCCATGGCTCACCAGGAAACCTAGGAAGAACTGGTGAAAATATGTATCTAAAATAATCAGTATACCTTAAATATGAGAATATAAAGTAGTAGTAAAAGAGACTAGTAAAACATATACCTGAGAACAAGCAGGCGTTTTTGACTTTGCATTAGCTATGCAAAACCTGGAACCCGTGTGGTCTGTAGACTTCAGAGCTGACAGAAGGAGCTCCAGCTCTCTAAGCTATCTCCCAACTAACTGGCTTCAGGTCACCCTTTTGTGTACTAAGGTTTAAATGAATTGGCATTATGGGTTGTAAATGGTTTGTCCCTTGAAAATATCAGAAGGTATTTGGGTAATATCAGATGGGACTCAAAAGCAGAGGAATTATTTCTTGGCTCTAGCCACATAGGGACTATTTTATTTAGGATAATTTAAAATTATCTTTTCTGTGGGATCTTAATTTCTTCAAATGAGGGCTATTTGCCCTAGTTGTTTATACTATCTTTTTTTTTTTTTAAGATTTTTATTTATTTGACAGAGACACAGCAAGAGAGGGAACACAAGCAGGGGGAGTGTGAGAGGGAGAAGCAGGCTTCCCACTGAGCAGGGAGCCTAATGCAGGGCTCGATCCTAGGACCCTTGGATCATGACCTGAGCCGAAGGCAGACGCTTAACAACTGAGCCACCCAGGCACCCCTGTTTATATTGTCTTGATTCCTATCTTAATGTGCATACTTACTGCTCAGAAATTGTGTGATTCCTCGTGTGGTGGTACTCATACCCTCTGGTAAGTACCAGTGAATGCTGAGTCTCCAGTTCTAGGGGGTATATGGCCCTATAGTGGAGTCAGAGTTAGAGTAGGATACGCTGGACTGAGGTTTCCAGTTCCCTCAAGAGCTGTCTCACACCATTAATTATGTTTGTGGTCGTGTCTGTCTTTCTCTTTTCAGTCTAGTGGCAATACCGGTGTATGTGAAACACAGCATCAGCTTTAAGGAGAACAGTTCTTGCGGTAGATTTGATATTACGATTGGACCAAAGCAGAATATGGGGAAAACTATTGAAGGAATCACGGTAACAGTTCACATGCCAAAAGTTGTGCTGAATATGAACCTGACGCCAACACAAGGCAGCTATACATTTGATCCAGTTACCAAGGTACAGCTCCCTCTAATCAAGAGTGAGCAAATGTTTCTGCAGTCTTTATTTTATGATGGCAGGGAGGGCGGAAGGAAGGGTTTAAAGTTCCTAACAAGACCTGGAGAGCATACTATGCTGTGCTCTCACTCCTGGCTGCGGAGGGAATCCCGCGTCTGCTGCTGAGATGAACCGAAAAGTAAGACTCATTCTGTTATCCTTCAGAGTGTGCCTTTCCTCATCCACTGGTAATCTAGTAATCTTTCCTCATCCATTGGTAATCGCTGAGGAAGATGTAAAAACCTTTTTAGAAAGAGAAAAACAGTATCTGGATATAAGAAGTTAGTATTGTAGTCTCTTAATTGTTAAATTTTCTGTAGTAATTGATCATTATGAACTTTCTTTTTAATTTAAAAGAACTGTTCATACTCTTCCATAGGGGATGCTGGCTAGGAAAGCCTCTTCTCACCAAATAAAATAAATGTGCCTCTAGCAACGGGTTTTCAGAGAAATTGTAAAAGATGGTTTCCTCTCAGCTTTCTGCTTGGGTAAAAAGTATGATTGTTTTCAACCGCAGAGACGTGGAACTGCCTGCTAAGTGAAAAGGCGTATTTTTAAATAAAATCATTGAATGTTAAAGATCGTCTAATCCTGTCCTAAGGATTTGAAGAATCTCCCTAGAGATTACCCAGGGCTGAGAAATGAAGGCAGAGCTCCAGACCCCTGGCCCGTCACCTTGGCTTCAACTGTAATAGTTGCACTTTCTTGATTCTTACTGAGCTTCCGCACTAAAGATTTTACTTGACCAAAGAAAGCTAAAAAGTTTGAAAAACACCAATTTAGGTTCCATTTTCTCATGTTACAGCAGAGTAAACTGAGGCCCAGAGACTTACAGTGAAGGTGGTATAGTAGAAAGAACATTTGAAATCAGATCAGGTTCGAATCCCAACCTTGCCTCTAAACTAGCTGTGTGACCTTGAGCAAGTCATTTGACCACTGAGCCTCAGTTTCTTTGTAAGAAGACGACAAAAGCTATATCACAGGCCTCTTCGAGATAACATATGAATAGTGCTAAGCGCAGTGCTATATCCAGAAGTAAGTAGATGCTCTATAAATGTTGGTTCTCTGCCCTTGCCATTCGGAGTCACAGAACTGATTTGTGGTAAAATCCCATGAAGATCCCAGGTCTCTTGTTTCCAAGACACTGTACTTCATTCTGTACAGAAGTTTATGGTGCCTTTGAACATTTGTGCTTAGTAAATGGTTCAGATTGTATTTGTTTTTTATGTCTTTTTAAGGTACTAACATGGGATGTGGGAAAAATTACTCCTCAGAAGCTCCCAAGTCTTAAAGGACTGGTAAATTTACAGTCTGGAGCGCCCAAGCCAGAAGAGAATCCAAGTCTCAACATACAGTTCAAGATCCAGCAGCTTGCTATTTCTGGTAAGGACAACTTTTGACTTGTGTTTAAGAGTGAACTGAGTTCTGCTGAGGTCAGCTCTCAGGAGCTTCAAAGGGTAGGAGCATTCCCTCGCGTTCCCTCGCGTTCCCTCTTTAGGAAGAACAACAGCTTGTTTGCCTGCCACCCTGGGCTGTGGGGCCATCCTCTCAGGTACGATGATTTTGCAGAGCTCCTTATTTCACACAGCTTTCTTCCACCAGACCCTCCTCATCCAAGCACGAAGGAAGGAGTCATTCATACTCACAGGAAGGACTATTCTTCAAAGACATTCCTGGCCCGCATGGGAATCTAAACTAAAAACATGCCCCCACAGAGCTGTAACACATGAATAGTAGAAGGGAGATTGCTTCCAAATGGTAGAAGGGACACTGGGTTAATGTCAGATTTACTGGGTAGTGTTCATTGCTAAACAAGTAATTGTTGGTTGCTGTGGCCAGGAAAATAATTTGTTCCTTTGCTTACCTGTTCTTTTTGACACAGGCTTAAAAGTAAACCGCTTGGACATGTATGGGGAGAAATATAAGCCATTTAAAGGAGTCAAATATGTCACGAAAGCTGGAAAGTTCCAAGTGAGAACATGAGAAGAGGCCAAAATTCCTCAAGATCTGTTTGTTTTCCTAGTGTCATTATAGTTTATTACTGTTAGGTACCAAGTGGGTGGGAATCCATATTCTAGTCGAAGCATTCCGGTTGAGCTACACAAGCTAATGAAGTTGCTTAGTAATCAGTGTGGGGTTCTGAAGAGGTTTAGGCTAAGGAAACTTTGAATGACTTAGCTTATTTTTTTAATCTTTTCAGTTAGGAAGATTCTGGAGGTGATTGCCTCCGTGGCGGGGGGGGGGGGTGGCCTCAGCTGGAGGCTCCACATTGTAACAACAGTAAAGGCAGAAAGCTGCAGTGATAACCTCTCCCCTAGAACAACTGAACTGATCTCAGTCAGCAGGAGCTGTCCCCATCTGTAATATGATGTATCACAAGTGCAGCCCAGTGTCACACCTGATCTTAGCCGTCCCAAATCAGCATCTGTCCCAACAGAGGAAGTTCCCCCCACCCCAAGAAGTTTACAAAAAACTGCCTCTTCAAGTGTTTGCCTTATTCAGCTTTTCACTTGTGCCATTAAGCAAGCACTGTAGCAAAAGCCACTTCCACTGGCCCAGGCAGGGAGCCCCATGGCTCCAAGCTCCATTCTCACTGTACTTGGTCTTGTATTTTTTATAAATGAGATTTTTACGTAAAGCTCAGATTTTGATTTACAGGGACCTTGCTGCAGGAAGTACCATCTCCGTTTTGTGCCACTAGTTCAGCTGTTAGATAGTATAGTCAATATCATTTGTATCAAAGGGGCGAATGCTTTATTAAGGCAATAAAAGGAAACACTACTTCTGCTTTTAGGAAGTTGTTGCAAGCACAAGCATTTGAAATTTGAAGCAAATTAAAGCATCAAAGCAAAACCGAAGTGAACTTTGCCACCTTCATGTTTTATAAAGCTTATCTACACCACTTAAACCATTGTTAGCCTAAAGGCCTCAAGCCCTCCTTCAGCAAAAGCAAGAAAATGGGCCTGCTTCACTGTCTTCACTTTTTTTTTACTCTTTTATCTTTTTTATTGTTGTTCTTAAGGTCTTGAATTTACCTGCGTCCCTTGTCTTAAGGGGGAGCTCTCTTTTCGTAGTCTGTGCTTCCCAAGGCTACAGTGGCCAATAGGTTCTTTCCTGAAACTTGTCATACTTGTTATTTGAACGTCTCCACTGTACTGACTTGGAAGTATATGATATTGAGGCAGTAACAAGATCCTCGGTAACACTAACAAAACCATCATCTTGGTTGGGAAGTCAGTCTAGGGTTGTATCCTTTCACTAAACTTCACTGGCTTTGAAGTCCTTGCCCAGTCATTTTGCCTCATTACACACAAAGAATGGAGAAAGGCTGAGAGATACAAGTGCTTGTTCTTCATGGTTCCCACTTGTTCTTGCTTATGCTGTTTTCTTCTTATAACTGACTCCATTCTCTCCTTTCGTCTTGGCTTGTAACTCCCTTTTCCATGTAATGCTAAGAATGGCCCTTAAATTCATCCCATTCTGCTGTCAAGGGCTAGTGGTCGCTGCTGCTACAGAGAGCCCACCAGACAGCAGCCTTCTCACCTTTGCCCGCCTAGGGTACCCAGCCCGCCTTTCGTCTAATAGGAAATGGCACTTTTTGCAAATTTGAAATTTCTTGGGTAACCAAATCAGCTTGGCAGCTAAAATCAAGATGTTGCCAAATATCTATTTCCTTTGCCTAAGGCTAATTACCCAGTCTGATTGCTTTAATTTTTAATGTCTTTTAATGTCCTATCTCAAAAGAACAATCAGTACATTTGCTTTTCTTTCCGCAGAATCCCTGATCTCAACCATGTATATCTGGACTGTCCAATTTTCTTTCTGTGCTACCTTCTCTTATATATAAAAAAGCAGATTATATGCCAAGAGCCCGTTGTCTCTAGCAATTTCTGCTATATCTTCCAAGTAGATTGTTTCCTTTTACAATTAAATTATTGTATTTATTAATTTGAATCCAGCAAATCCTTTCTCTAATCTGGCTATACTGTCAATAAAAAGGTGAAAGCAACAAGTTGATTTTTTAGCTTGACTGTTGATTGAGCGTTCTCAGGTGGGCACACGTCAGCGTCACAGCAGGCTAACCGTGACCGGATTCTGTTCTGTATCATCACATAAGGTGTAATGGTTGCTGCAAAGCACTTGCAAGTGCTCCTCTCTTCACCTCAGTGTGTCAACAGCCACAGATACTTTCTCTGAGCATCACCCTCTGGCCAGAGACTGAGCAGCAAGTGATCAAAGTTACTCTCCCTATCACCACCACCACCACCACCTACTAATAACAAAGATCCATGAATACTTAGTAGTAGCAGAATATTTTTCAGACACAGAATCCAGCTAATCTCAGAATGGCCCCTTTTTATAAATTCTTAAAGGAGATCTCCTAAGAGCAAATGAAGATGCTCATTTTCTGCATAAGGAAGTTACCATCATTCAGAGAGAATTCATGTGATGGGTTCATCCCTAAAGTACAATAGAACAACCCTTGGAAGGTGCTGGTCTTCACTGTTCTTAGAGTCCTCTGATTTCAGAAAACAACTAAAAAATTTAATGCAGCAGGAAGGTGGTACCCATGAACATATGGTGAGTAACAAAAATGAGACCAGAATTTGTTTCCAGATACTGCCGAGCTCATTCCGTAGTCTTGGACATTTTTCTTGAACTCAGCAGTCTGGAATCTTGCTTCCCTGGTCAGCAACGCTTCTAAATCAGGATAAATGTAGTCCGCAGCTCGCTCTCTCTCTTTAATGATCCCCTTTCAGATCCAGAAAATCAGGCAAAAACAGTGATGTGTCCCTTATAATCCCAAGTACCTACTCCTACTTTTGGTCTGTGCTTCCTCAAGCAAGAGGAATATGTCCCCAAAGCTAGCTCGGCCTTCTAGTCCTGGTGGATCTCTGACAGCCCTATCGTTCTACCTTGGGCCTTGAAATATAAGAGCAACAGACCCGTGGTATTCTTGTACATGTAACAGCTGCGGCCCTGTCGGGGTGACAGTCCCCACGACTAGCTGGGCGTGTTTAAGATGACGACAGACTACTTCAGCCAGAGAATGATCCACATCTGGTGTTTTCCTCCTCTTGTTCACGCCTGTCACCTCCTCCTGGTGTAAAATCCCCAAAGCTGGGCTTCAGTACGCAGACCCTTGTTAGGTAAATACACTGCTGCTATACAGTACTGTATGCTGTTCATCCAGTTCAACACATGGATTAAATAAACCTCTTTGGTTTCGAGATCCTGAGGATTAATTTCATTGGCTGTTTTTCAAAACAAAGGAGAAAGCTGATCTAAATGTTTCTGCTAAAATAATATACCCATCATTTAAAGCATTATTTATACAAATGCACTTTATTGTTTTAAACAGAACAAAAGAAGAGGCAAAAAATATTTGCATATAACAAATCCTAGCTTATAAATTGTAGTTTTTTGTGATGATGTCTCTAATCAGTCTTCAGGATTTTTTTTTTTTTTTTTTTAATTTGTTTCACTGTGTCTTGAGCACTGATATTAGAGAAAAGCACATCGGCATAAAGTGTAAACCAGTGTCTCAAAACACTGGAAGAACCTGGAGAGCAGACATGATTTTTCTTATTTCCTCTAAGTAATCTTTCATAAAACAAAAGGTGATCTTTGGCATAGATTCATACTTTAAAGGCATTAATATTGCATTTATATCAGGTAAGCAACTATACAAATATGCTGAGGGCCTTGAAAATAATATTCATCAGTTAAAAGAAAATAGAGGAAGCCTGAGTGTACAGTACCAACTGAAGACAAGTTTTACACAGTAGATGTTGGGATTTAACACACATTGGAAGTGAGAAGAAAGGACATTCAGGCAACAGTTCTTACTCCTTTACTCATCCAGTTCTGGCTTTGGGAAGAAGTAGGATTTCATGTGCTGGGCAATGCTTAGACAGCAGTGATAATGCAGAAAAGGAAAAATTCTCTCTCACTTTGCTAATAGGAAACTTAGGGTAATAATTAAATATTATATCCATTACTCATGAGCATTTGTACTTGGGAGGGAGGAAGGGATAACAGGGACTTGGTTAAGGGAGGTAGGAATATACTGAGCACTATTTCCCACTGATTCATCCCCAACGGTGCCAAAGTTCCAGACTGCAAGTACCAATCTCCCTTAGGTAGGAAGTGCCCTTCAGACAGGATTGCCTTTCTATTAAACATTCCTGGGGGGCAAGCACCAGTTCTTAGGTGAATTTCCAAAGGATAAAAAGGATCTTTCAAAATTACAATGAACAAACACATATCTTTAAAATCTTGTTTAGGAAGGGTATGAGGGAAGAATACAAAAGCCAGGATTGGGGACATGATTTGGTTAAAAACTAAATGCAGCATTACAGCTCAGAAAGAACAGTAAGAGCTAAGAATGAATGATAAGGCCTCAGCACAGATCTCTGCAGGCAGTGACAAAGCATGAGGCGCCTGAGAGTGGCCATGCCGGGAAGAAGGGCAGGGCCTCGCCCGGCTACTCTGCCCCTCCGGCGGCAGAGAGCACCAGGACACACAGTGTGTGGGATGGCTACCTTCACAGGCCAAGGCGGGATATAGGACAGGAAGCTTCCCTAGCACAGACATTGCTCAGGGGCAAGGTAAAGACAGAATCGTGTGATTCTGTGATTTCCTCCTGAGAGTGAAATTTGGTTTTGCACTGTGGGAAGTGAGAAGGATTAACCTGGGGACGGGCAAGAGGTGAATCCAGGCCCCATGCGCTGGGGCTCCCCAGAGGCCATCTTCCCTTGTAGCAGCAAAGCTCACTTCTGAAAAGGACCCAGATAGCACAGCCAGGGTCAGGAGCAACACGGAAAGCCAAAACAAATTTTGGAGGCACAGTGATTTCCTTCTTAACTAACTTGCCTGGGCCTGGGTCTTGGGACCCTGGTGGGGAGGATTGGAGGGGAGGGGGAAGAGAAAAGGAAGCAGAAGAGGAACTGTCCCCCAGGGAACGAGGGCGGAGCAGAGTGTTCAGTCTTGGCTTCTGAGCTTATGTGAAGTCCATGGGCCAGAAACCCAGCCTTCCTATTGGGATAGAGTGTGCACGAGTATAACTGTGTTGGAGAATACAGGCTTTATACGGAGAAACATTTCATAGTGTCCATGACAAGAGTATAAATGGTTTCTAAAGTGAAGAGGCCCCATTCCTTTCTGTTATGTCAGGCCAGGATGTGGCCAATAACCCCCTAGCAATTCACGGCATCGTCTGGGACTCAGATCATTTCATTCTAGTTAGTAGGGGTTTCTGTGCCAACCACGTTTGACCAGCTGCCTACTGGTACCAGGGAGTCTTTCTAACCCAGCGTAGTGTAAATCCAGCATCTGTTCGAATTTTGATTGAAGCAGCTTCTGCTTCTCGAACGGTCTCCTTCACAGACTGCATAAGGTTCTGGGCATTGTGAACCAGCATCTCTGTGGCCTAGCAAGGAAAGAGAAACTCTCCATTACTTGTCATCCCAGAGGCGGCCCTCCCTTCAAAACCAGCCCAACCGAGGCGTGGGCTGCAGGTCCCCCTGCCTGCGGCCGGGATCCCTGTACTTGTCGCATCACTGGGAGGTTAGGGGGAGCACGAAAAAGAACCCCAAAAAACCCACCCCTGATTATGTACTATACCCTCAACCGGCCTCTAGCATGTACTGTTGCCTGCTCTTCAAACAAGCTTCTGCCTCAGGCTCTCACTGTTCCTTCTACCCGGAATGCTTTTCCCTCATGGCTCAGCCCTCACCTCCTTCAGATCTTCGCTCAGAAGTCACTTTGGTGAGGCACCCCCCTGCCCACCTTACTTTAAATCACAAACACCTTCCCAAGTGACAGCATTGCTCATCCTCCAAGTCTTCATTTTTCTCCATAGAACCCATCCTTACTAACTACTACGCTTTATGTAAATTTTACCTAATCTGTTTTATCTGTTTTACCTGATTTATTTAAAATTTAAGTTCCACAAGGGCAGTGATTTTTGTGAGTTTTGTTCACTGCCACGCCCCATGTTAGGCCAGTGCCTGGCACAAAAGAGGTATTTCATAAATATATAATTTTAACAATGAATGAAGAAATAACCAAATGAACAAACCAATCATTTGTAAATCCATGAAAATCTAAATAAATAAATCTCCTAAGCACACAAGCTTAGAGGGCTAGGATCATACTAGGACTCCAGCACAGAAAGTCAGAGAACGTATTGATTTTTAATTCTTAACTCTTTTTGAGCCAACAAAAACCAAACAAAACAAAAAAACTATTTTTGAGCCACAGACCCTTTGAGGATTTTGTGAAGTCTCTAGATTCTTCCCTGGAAAATGCTCACATCTGTAAAATTTGTCCAGGCAGTTTCTAAGGGTTCATCGGCTCTGAGAGGCGTAACTATGGGCTTAAATTCCCGGTCAGCTGATCTTTTCAGTCAGTCAACAAAGAGGCTGAGGCCCAGATAGGTTAGGAGATTTGCAACCAAACTTACACCGTAATCAGGATGAGGACTCAAAACTTCTGACTTGCAGTCCTGTGTTTTTGCATTCTTCCACACTATCAGTGTCTATCCTTTTTTATTAGAATATGAGGTAGAACGTAGTAGATATTCCCAGAATACATTTGTGTTGGTTAATTAAATGACATGGTCTGAAACTATGAGTCCTATCCTTCCTTCTCTGTTTCCACCACTTCCTTTTCTTGGGGTAGATGAGACCACATGATGGGAAACAGCCCAGTGCCCACACCCTGCCTAGAATACATGGAAGTCAGGGGTGAAGATCCAATACCCACGGCGCACGAGGAGGGTGAGGGTGAGAGCTATTGGATGAAAACAGCCATGAAAGCACCACTCGTACTAGACCGTAGCCTCCCTGTCTCCTCCAAGGTGCTCCTGGCCTGAGATCAGGGTGGTCTCCCAAACTACCTGTGAGTTCCCCAGGGAGAGGAACTCTAGGAAATCTTTTTTTTTTTTTTAATTTTATTTGACGGGGCACCTGGGTGGCTCAGGCATTAAGTGTCTACCTTCAGCTCAG